ATATGTCAAGGTCAAAGTCATCGGTGAGGTGTAACCTAATATGCATATTTACCAAAATAATTGTAAATAAAAATAATATAAATTAAAAAATAATAAATAAAAAGAAATATAAATTTCTTTGCCCATGGCATACCTTCGATGCGTGTCGGGGTTATCGATTCCGCGATCTTTCCATAGTACAACAAAAAAACCGAATTGGACGCCAGATACGGCAGATCGCACCACACAAAGAGATCGGACACAAAATTAAAGTTGCGCAACCGATAATTAATGCGACGGCAAAGTACGCGGCTACTAATTTTATACGAAATGGTAAATGGAGTGATTTGTGAAGACGCGATTTGAGCTCGACTTTCTTGTTGCGAGATCCGTTTTTACCGTACATGACTTACTAAGGTCACGGAAACTAGAGAAAATCTCCCGAACGCACCGGTAGCTACTTTATATACAATCGCAAGTTCGCCGCGGGGATAATAAATCTTTTGACTTGATGTGATGTGTATATTTTCTTTAACAAGATTCACGATAGGTACGGATAGCGGTAATAACAGCGACGATCTTTCGTCATGCGACGCAAAATATCCCCGAAATATTTCTCGCAAAAAGCAGCGACAAAATTCCGATCGAAATTATCCGGCACAAATTCGTAAATGTTAGCTCTTTACAATTCGCATTTCACAAGAACCCGTAAACAATATCAAAAGACGAAAACTATTAAGCGCGAATGTGGTGCAAGAAGTCGCGATGCAATACATGCGATTAATCAAAAGATCGAACGCGAGATAAAGAATCCCGATAACTAATATAATATAACATACAATAAACGAAAAATACAACTGCGAAACAATGTGACTGTCGGCGGCGGCTAAATCTTAAGAAAGAGAACTTATTCTAAAATTCGGATGAGTGGCTTATGTCCATCGGCCATTAATACACAATTCATTAAAATTATAAGTAAATTTCATCAAAGAAAAGAAAAAGACCCAAAAGCACATGGCACGACAATTAATTAATTAAGGCGTGACTCATCCGAATGAAATACCTAGCAAAACCAGCAACTTTACAGGAGATGACGCTCGTCCCACCAGTCTGAGAAATTTTCTCGATTTCAGTTTTTGCTCGATCTAGAAGGCCTGTGTCCTCTCGTAGCTCGCCAAACAATGATGAGCGACAGTCCTGCAGGAAACACGCTGATTCGATAGATCCCGATTAAGCCGCTTGTGGCACTTCCGCGTTCCGCAGGGCCGTTCGGTGGTCCTCGTCGTCCTCGCGGCCTTCACGGCCGTATTAGCGGGTTCATCGCCCTGCCGCTTCCAAAATTTCTTGCTGTTATCGTTCGGCAAAGCGGTACGGGCTTTTGGCAGCGTACAGCTGGACCTTGTCCCTTTTTTTGCCGATAATTCTCGGGCTTTTGAACGTTTATCGTCGCTTCTCTTTCGGGACTCCATTGCGTGTTAAATGGAGTGGCCGGATTCTTCCGGCTTTCCGTGCCTCGTTCTAGCCATAAGTATTAAAAATTAACGGCAGCAATTATTACCCGCTATTATCGAGATTTATTATTTAATAAAAGAAATATTATCTAGCAGCCCCTACCTTCTGGATATCTTGGATTCCTGCTCTCAGCTTTTCGTTGATCTCCCTTCCGCCGGATAGAATCTCATCGCTCACTCCTGTATCGCTAACTAAATTTCCGGGCTCAAAATGAGCTTAAATTTTTGCACTTAATTTAAAATACCAAAACGAAAACCAGATCTTGCCGATCTGATAATTGGGCCGTTCTTTCCCTAAGTCGAGAAGACGCAGACCCCCGAAAAACCGCTCGCGATCGGACCATTCGGCCCTTATGACGGACGATCAAAAACGTCACGTCACAAAGTCGTAGTCATATCAAAGTCGCTTATTAGTAGTATCAGAACATAAAAAGGCTGTCCCAAAGCACTCTAGACAACGCTCGTGAGCGGGTAGAGCACAGTAAATTGAACAAAAAAATCCTGTATCATATTTTTCTATAACGCTTAATAAAGGAGTTATTATTGAGTAAAGTTTGACCAATCAGCGCCGACTTTAAGCCGGGCGCACGTCGCTGAGTCGCATGCCTGGTAATGTGCGTGAGTGCTCCGTTATTACGGCGGCACACCACTACCAGGCACGTGGCTCACTGATGTGCGTCCGGCTAAAAATCGGCGCTGATTGGCCAGATTTTACTCAATAATAATTCCTTTATTTAGCATTATAGAAAAAAATGGTAATGGACTTTTCTGTTCAGCTTATTGTGCTCTACTCGTTCACGAACGTTGTCTAGAGTACTTTGGAACACCCTATATATGCAACTGATAAATATTTCTCTAAACTTAAACTATTTAATGAATTCTGGAAAATAGTTTCTTTGCTAATTCATAAATTATAATTATCAATTAGAATCATTTCTAAGAGAGATTAAAAGAGGTTTTAACTTGTACCATTAAAGCTT